ATGTGAGTAATGTTTTTTTTGGTGGTTGAACCTGGTAAGAGAATATTCCGTATATGAAATACTATACCCCACAAGGAGGATATAATCTTACTCTATATTGGGTACCATAGTATCCCCAAATAAAATACTACTCATGTGGAGAAGTTGAGGGTGACTGGAGCTCCCGCCTAAGGAGTCTGCAATGCTTACTTTCGAAAAAATCGCACATCCGGTGGAGTAAAATTCTGGTATCATTCAGATGTGCATGTGCATATAGATATATATATATGCACAGTATTAGTTTGCTTATACATACTGAGACAGCGTGGGAGTTCTGCTGAAAGTATACTAAATTGCTAAATTGAACCTAGTGTACCATACTCACTATGTTGAAACAACATCATGTTAGCCTAGGCATCCCTTGCTCATATGCTCCCTTGTTGTGCGACGCAAAGATGCTGATACGTAATGATATGAAGTATGAGGGAGTATGAACCATGCCTTGTAGTGCACCGTATAAAAATGTACTCGAACAAAGCACCGTCTCACTTAATCCAAGAATACATCCCTAAACCCTAAACCCTAAACCATTAATGTGCAAATACTGGCCTCTTTTTGCACTTACGCTGGCCTGCCATATTTCAGGACCCTGAGATGAGCCTAAAACCACCCATGCGCCTGCGTATGTAGATTATGTAGGTGGTCTTTCGAAATTACAGCAAGTCTTCTTTTTACCCCAAAACACAGCGTGCCGTGACATCAAGGATATCCAGAAAGGGTCCAGGACTTGAAAACGGCTCAGCTAGCCGTTTTTCAAAATGGGGAATGTCTTAACGAGGTGATTCCCAGGATCTTTAGAATGGCCCATGTGTAACATCATAATGCTGGCCTCAACACGCGCTGCTCGTTGGCGTAGTTCCTGGCTCTTTCAATTGGATATTTGTTCCCTTCAACTGGAGGTTCCCCTTCCGTACCCCAAGATACTTCAAAATAGAGGTAATCCCAAAAGGAACTTTCTGCAAAACCCTGATTGTGGCTGTCTGGGATCAACTGCCAGGTTTCATTGCTGCTTGCAGCATTGTTCACATCGCTTCTGGTCCATCATCCTTGCAGTGGTGGTAGTTGTAGTTGTTGGTGTTGTCAGTGGTCGTGCAGGTATCAACTCAATAGCTATGGTAATGATCATACTAGTTCGCGAAGCGCCTGGCGATTTGGGCTTGTTCTTAATGTTTTTTAATGTGTTTCATCCATGCCCAAACCATGACAACGTTCGTCTTCCGAGAGCATACGGTTACCAGTGCATCCATGTCCAAACCATAACAACGTTCGTGTTTCGAGAGCATACGGTTGCCAGTGCATCCATGCCAAAACCAAACCATAAAAAATTTCGTGCTTCGAGAGCATACGGTTACCAGTGCACGCATGCCCCAGCCAGAATGACGTTCGTGTTTCGAGAGCATACGGTTACCAGTGCATCCATACCAAAACCAAACCATAATAAACTTCGTGCTTCGAGAGCATACGGTTACCGGTGCATCCATGCCCAAACCATGACAACGTTCGTGTTTCGAGAGCATACGGTTACCAGTACATCCATGCCCAAACCATAGTGACCTTCATGTTTCGAGAGCATACGGTTGCCAGTGCATGCGTGCTCAAACCAGAATAACGCTTGTGTTTCGAGAGCATACCAGTGCATCCATGCCAAAACCAGAGTAACGTTCGTGCTTCGAAAGCATACGGTTTCCAGTGCATCCATACCAAAACCAAACCATAATAAACTTCGTGCTTCGAGAGCATACGGTCACCAGTGCATCCATGCTCAAACCAGAAATAACGCTCGTGTTTCGAGAGCATACGGTTACCAGTACATCCATGTCAAAACCAGAATAACGTTCGTGTTTCGAAAGCTTACGGTTACCAGCGCATCCATACCCAAACCAAACCATAATAAACTTCGTGCTTCGAGAGCATACGGTTGCCAGTGCATCCATGCCCAAAAAACACAGTAGCTAACATGTTCTAAGAGCACACGGTCATGCCTCCTGCCTCAGGAATGTTGTTATAAGACGTATAGTTTTACCTAACTTGAAAAACACTCATTTTCGACTAAATCGCGCCGAAATTATGGCAACAAACACATCTAGCCACCTCAAAACCTCCAAGCGTCTCGCGCTCGTGTTACCTAGTTGGAACATTTGTAGCAGTAGTTGTCGGGGCAGCCTCAGCAACAGGAGGAAGAGGAGGAATGGTAGAAGCAACTGCAGTCGTCGAAACAGAATTTCTGTATAAGGTTCAGAATAAGAAAGAGCAAGAAAAAACAGCAGCAGGAAAGGTGAAATAATGATAATGGCAGTCAGCACAAAGCCCCTGACGGCAGGCAAATGCAACAGTACTGCTGGCAAACCAAAAGCGCCGGCATGTCGTCAGCTTGTCCCTCGGCAAAGGCCGCACGCACCACAGCCTCATACTGACGCGCTACGAGCCGGTATGCATGGAACGCAAAAAAAAAACCAGCACTCCACCTCTTCGGCTCTCCTCTGTTCAAGAACAGCCTTCTGTTCCATATCCCCAGCCTCAGAATGGGGATCATCTAGCAAGCCATGTATGAGAACTAAAGAAGCAATCAAGCAAAACCAAACCAAAGTCCCAATAACAAGCACCTGTAATCTCTCTCTGGCAAGGGCCTTCTGCAGCGCTACCTCCAACTGTGCCTGGCAAGGCCATGGGTTACTTTCTCAAAAGGCGGGTAACCCCAAGAAACCTTTAAAAGGGGGTCTGTAGGGATATACAGGGTTGAAGGTTACTCCAAGTAAAGTTTCCCCCAGGAACCCTAAGCACAAGTGCATGCATACATGTACATATGCATATACATTTACATATACATATGGGGGTCTTGCGAAGGACTAGCTAACAAGGAACATGTGAAAATCCAATGTTTTCAATTCCGTTTTAACTTTTGAGGGGTGGAAGTAAGGCTTAGGGTTGAATTAGTGCTCGCTTGTTTGGGCTTTGCCAAGATGATAGCCCCTTCTTCAGAATTATGCCTTTCAAAATCCTGCTGTTGATGGAAAGAATCCTGGATGACACGAATAGGGCAGAGTAACAACAAGAAGCGCACAATTGGGTCTATAAAGAAGGAATTTGGGTGGTTTACTAGCTGGTATACGCTGGCACATATGCGGACTCCACAAAACCAGGCAGCCCGCTTTTCGGGAGAAGCTCTTCTACAGACAGAACTCACGCTTCGAGGGCTTGCCTCCAAAGATGAAGATTACTTGGAAAAACTCACATTGGTCTTCAGGAGCTCTGGTACGCCCTTGCCGCAACTGTAGCGAACTGTAGCTTACATAAAGAGCTTCCAAGGAGCTCAACTCTCGAGGTTTGGGATTACTGTGCGGTGTAGAGTTTGGGGTGTAAAGTCTGGAGTTTGGAGTTCATGTGTAGAAACAGGTGAACCTCAAATAGAAGCACTCCACGAGCATGGATCAACCCTAAAGGCTAAGCGCTGGACCGCGTGCAGCCCTATATGTACCCATATACGCCTAGACGTCGCATGCATATTATATCTCAGTTATTAACCACCCTAAACCTTGGACCTTGAAAGCTATGGATTGGGTCAGTTCCCCTTACAATAACAGTTACCACAATGGATAACAGGAATTATAACAGCCCCTTAATGTAGGCCCTTTTAATGACAGCTTCTGGGAGGTGAATGACCCAAGCTCTGCCATATATCCCTAAACCCTAAGTAACAGTTGCCATCTTCTTTTCCATCATCCCTATATAGACTCCCTATATCCCTAAATCCGAAGTAGTAGGTTCCATTTTCTTTTCCATTATCTGGAGCACTTTGAAGCAGGCCTGGCTGGGTCCCAGGCCTCCTTCCTGATCAACGCCTCACGAAGTGACACCTACCAACGGCCAAGGAACTTGGAAGGGAGGAGGAAATAGCCTGAAACAATCTAGGGAGAAGATCCCCCGAAACAAAAAGCTTCCTCCACCTGGTCCAATTAGGCTTTAGGATTTAGGGTTTAGGGTCTAGGGTCTAGGGTCTAGGGTCCGGGGTTTAAACCCTCAGTCCTAAACCCTAAATCCTTAACGTTTCGGGTACCAACAGTTGCAGCCTCAAATTCGAGATCATGCCAAGGGTCTGACAGAGCAGGGCTCTGTTCCCTCTCATAGCCAGGATCATTCACAGAAGTTGGGTCTCCACACCTACCTGGAGGGTACCTTGAAAGGGATTATAGGGGTTATCTAAGGATTCTATATAGGGGTATATAGGGACATATAGGGTTTAGGGTTTGGGGTCAATCCCCTCACCCAGTGATGGGTTAAGGGGCTTAGGGTATAGGGTTTAGGGGACTACTGTAGGTATACTATGGCCCTGAAAACCCCTAGATTTAGGTGCGATTGCTGTGGAGGAGAGTTGACCTAACATAGAATACCATCTGGCACATGCCCACAAGTCCATACAAAACCCCCACTCACAGAGCCCAAGTCATGCACTGTGGCAAATAATCTCCTTCCCCCTAATACTAACCGCTTCCCATACGTAAGTTGTTCTCAAACTTGTGAGCCCTGTTGGTCACAGAGTATATTACGGCACCTAATATTTAGGGGTACACCACATTTTGGGGAACTACCCATATGCTTCAATTGGGGGGAGGGGATTGCAGAATAACTCACCTTTTGAGGATCACGTCACTGTTATGAGGTCCCTGTTGCAAAGGGTTGGGGTTACCCAAACCCTCTTGTTACGGAAGCTGCGGAGTTCCGCTCATACTGTATATAACCCCTGTTTTACCCTTATATTACACCTATATTACCCCTATATAACCCCTGTATTACCCTTATATAGCCTCTATATTACCGCTATATAAGAAGTCCTGCCTCTACATCAGCACCTCGCTTCATAGGTTCGCCTCGTGCCTGGCCAGCACCGTCTTGCCGCTTAGGCTGATGCAGAAAGAGGAGGGGATCAAAAATCAGGGGTCCTTTGAAAGGAGACACCCCGCGTACGTGGGGGTCTTTACAAGGATGCAAGAGGTTCAGTGTTTCCAGCACTCAACGCCCCTCTTTGGGAGTCCCAAACTGTCATATATTGGGATCTATCTCCCTTCTTGCAAACAAAACATATGAGAGGGGCCCTACAGGATATGATAGACTCTGATAGACAAAGTGTTAATTCCAGCGGCAATCAAAATCACGATATAAGATGGTCCTTCTTGGGCATTCTTAAAAACGGGCCCCCTCTGGCACAACACAGGATTGAAAAGGGACAGAAGGAGCTTCCGCATAGCAACAGCACAAGTCAGCTTACAGCTGTTGAATCACTACGAAGTGGTCACTACTACAGCGCCCACAAGAAAGAAACCTGAACAAGGAGCCTCCACATAGCAACAGCACAAACCAGCAGAGTGGAGCTTGCTCAAGTCGACGTCCTTTAAGTTCAACACGACCGTCACAAGAGGGGACCCACCCGGGGTTTAGGCTATAAAGTCTAAGGTTCAGGGCTAAACCAGGAAAGCTGCCGCAAACTATGCCTGAATGACCAGCAAAGGCAGGAACACTGTAGGACCCTACATAACTCGTAAACAGTTGTCCTAGAGCGGCCCAAATATTCGGATACCTGTTCACGATAGGCATGGTAGATCATGATAAGCATCATTGGGGGAGGATGTCTTCAAGAATGCCAAGCATAGACCCAAATGCTCATCCTTATTCCCTAAACGCCCGACCCTACATCCAAACCCTAGGACCTAAACTCTACACCCTGGACCCTGAATCCTCAGCGTGCACCTCCAGCTTGTCTTTGGGGCGAGATGCTGGCGGCCTGACAAACGCTCATGCGAGAGTCAAGGGTCCTTTTGAGGCCTCAAAGGACTTATACCCAAACCTTCTGGGATCTTTTGAAGAAGAGACTATCTTGCACCATTCTCCGGACCATGGGGTTCTGCCAACTGTCCACCTTGTTCTCGTAGCATACAAATTGGGTAGAGTCTATGAAGTGAGCTGCATGTTGCAGCCATGTGACCACAGTACTCTAGCTCAGACATGTCTAGGTTTTACTCAAAATCAATACCCGAAGCCCGCCATGGTCTCATGGATCTGCTGATGGCACTTGATGGCGACTGACATGCGAGAGAAACACACCAACGATGATCCCAAAAACAAACCCTACGGACTAAACCCGAACCCCGAAAGCCTACCTGCAGCCCGCTTCCCCGCTCAGTCTCTCTTCCTTCATCCCCGCACAAGCAACATAAAGCCCACAAGGGTGCCAAAACCTGTCCGCGATGAGGATTCAATCCACAGGATAACCCTATACGGGCATCTCTACCTACACCGGCTCAAACCCCAATGAGCATGTCTCCAAATCACCTTTTTACATCCGCCATCGAGAACTATAGCCCCGACATTACCCCTGGGGTTGCTAAGGGTATCCCTCTTTTGGAGAAATCCTAAACCCCAACCCTGAACCTAAAACCCTCAGACCCCCTAGCCCCAAAACCTGAAACCCCTAAACCCTAAATCCTAAAACCCCTAAACCCTAGACCCCAAAACCCTCTAATCCTCTCAACCCCTGGTGTGAGGTCGCGGCTTTGGCGGTGGGATCTTCTGAGAGGGTTTGGGCACCGACTTTGGAGCAGGCTTGTTTTTTCCTCCACCACAAGGTTGAGGTTTAGGAGCTTAGGACTTCGAGTTAAGGCTTGGTCAAAGTACCCGCTTCCGTCCGCGCGAATCGTCCCTGGAATACTTTACAGAATGGTTGTGGTGAGAGTTGTAGGTTTAGGTCTTAGGGTTTCAAGTTTAGGGCTTAGGCTTTAGGGTTTACGGCTTAGGGTTCAGCAGGGTTTAGGGGTTCGGGATTCAAAGTGTGAAGCTTAGGGCCTCCCACAAAGAGGTGGGGGCGTCCAAATATTACCATTTGGGGCGTCCGAGAAACGGATGATGATGCTGTGGCTCATTTCGGAAACACTTATAGTACCCCTTAAGTAGATAGAATATGGGGTTTAAGGGGATCTTATTATAATACACCCAAAGGCATATTCTATATACTTAAGGGGGACTGTAATACTTGAGTTGGGTTCCAGGCTCCCCAAGAACCCCTGGGTCTCTTATAGGTGCTGCTGTACTTCAAAACCCTAAACCCTCAACCCTAGGTCCTGAGGGTACAGGATGAAGTACTCCTCATGTCAGGGTATAAACCCTATATAATCCCTGTAGCTTCCGTCTCTTTTCCATTATCCCCATAGAACCCCAATCTACTAGAGTAGTTCCCATTTTGTTTTCCATTATCCCCATATAACCGCAATATACTATAGTAGTTTCCATTTTCTTTTCCATTATCCCCAAATATCAACTTTAAGAGTGCTCTCAGTTCATGACCGCCGCTTAGGCTCGCCGGGGCTCATAGCTGAGAACTGAGGACCAAGGACCAAGCCCTTCGCCCAGTATAAGGGGTTTTCCTAAAAGTAGGGGTACCTTTTTGGGGGTCCCCATAATAAGGAGCATAGCTTTTAGGAGATCTATTTTGGGGTCCCCCTATTTTGGAAAACTACCACAATTGACTTATGGTAGTTTCCATTTTCTTTTCCATTATCCCTATATAGCCTCAATATAAACCCAATATTACCCTTATATCCCAATATTATTGCTCTGAAAACTTTCGCAGAATTTCAGGGGGCTTTCAATTCAGAACCTTGAAGCCTAAGGACTTTCCGCGGCAGAGCCCCAAATAAGGGAGAGCTCCTCTGCTCCCGCAAACCCTAATTTTTCCATAGGGGTTTAGGGTTTAAGGTTTAGGGTTTAGGGCTAAACCTGAATTCCGCAATTGGGCGCCTCTTGCTCAGACCAACCTAAGACCTCAAATGCTTTCAGTGGTGCCCCTCTCTGATGACATAAACCAGTAGTAGATCCCAAACTCATGTAGCGAGTATGGACAACGTGCAACAAAGCCAGAAAGCTTGCCCGAAACAGCAACACGAAATAGACGTTGAAAATGCCTCCTACTAGGCCCCAGTACTGGGTTGCTGTTAAGGAACTTAAGTTAAGTTACAAAATTGGGGAAAGCATTACATATACTATATATATATATGTATACATGCGTACACCCATTATGGTAACTTAGCTTAAATCCTTTAACAGCAACGCGGAGTACCAAGCCAACTTCTTGTGGCTCCATGTCGCACTCTGGCCTTCCTTCCACGGTGGCGGCTGCACTTTAGGCTTCCCTGGTGCTTGAGTTGGGGAGCCCTTTAGGGAACCTAGGGATATTTGAGGATTACATGGGGATGCTGGAAGTCCCTATGAAGGATCATATGAGCTGTAGTCTCAACTCCTAGTATCCCCCTTAATAACCCCTACAACAGCCCCCTATATGATCCCCTATACATTCCTCTTTAAGGAGTTTAGACTATAGCTCATATGAGGAATATTTTCAGATCCTGGGCCAAGCAGAGTTCGGGTGGAGCAGATCAAACGGACCTTCCTGGCTGAGTTTCAGTAGCTGTGGGGTGTAACCCTATGGAATTGGGGATAATGGAAAATAAAATGGAAACTACAGATAGGATTATACTGGGGATATAATGAGGTTTTCAATAGCTGTGGGGTTCAGCGGGCTTCAGGGTTCTGCGGCTTGGCATTGATATGCCTGAGTTGGCTGGCAAACATGATGTTGTTGCAGGTGTTTCAGTCTCCTGAAACACAACCTTGAAAAGATGAAGTAGTCAAAGCTCTGCTTAAGTAGGCCACCATAAGAATTCATTCAAGTTGAGCCGTCATTCATCGGAAGAGCAAGTAAAATACATGTCCCGATGCGACACATAAGGATTCTTCACATACTGTGATAATGAGGGGTTGTGTTCAAGTCTCAGTCATGCACTTCAGTCCACAGAGCCCCAAGCTGACTTGTGCAGGCTTGGGGCCGTGTCTTTCTTGGCCCTTGGCTACAAAATCAACATGCTGCCACGTACTGAAAATTATCCCCAAGACAACAGCATGACAGCTCTACACAGAAGAAACATCTTGACCCTGCCATGTGCCGCTCAGCCGTCCCTTGCTAGCAGTGCCCTGTCGCGCCTTTGACCTCCGAGGACTTCGAGCGCTGTGGAGCAGGGCTGGGTGGCCGTCGAGTTGGCTCTTGCGACTTCGATCTCTTGGGCGGCTGCTTTCGCACCGGATCTGGGGTCTTTGACCTTGATCTCTTTGGCGGCATCTTGCTTGAGAAGGGCCTGCCAATCCAGAACAAAAATCATGAGAAAGCACCACTTGAAACCTGCGCTCAGCATGCGGCCTGCGTCCGGCCAGACACCACCAAAGTCACTGAGAGCTGGGGCCAAAAAGGCTACGAAGTGGAGAATGAGCTTTGTCTATGGCTGCTTGTTACAGACTGCATACAGCATTGCAACAGACTTTCAGGAAGCAAGCGGAAACTCAATCTGACTGCTAGCTACCTTGCTCTTTGCTCAGCAGCTTAGGCCAGGAGAATCTCCCGAATCCTCCTGTCATCGGCTTGAAGGAGCTTCTCAAGTTTACGGTTTAGGGTTTAGCGCTTAGGGTTTAGGGTTTAGGGTTTTGGGTTCAAGGTTAGGGTTCAGGGTTCAGGGTTCAGGGTTTAGGGTTTAGGGTATGGGGACGGAAGGGGATTATAGGATTGTTTGGGGAGATTATGGGAACTAGACTTGTGGAGAGATTTTTGTGTCTTGTTGTTGTTACTAACATGGCTTTTGGTCTCACTACCCAATAATGATGGGAATTTCGCTCCTGTACTTGCTGTAGCACGGGCATCACCAATGTTGCTTGGGGCTTTTCCAAAGGGAACCCTTCAGAAAGGAACAACCCTAAACCCTAAACCATGAACCGTAAACCCTAAACCCCTCCCCGTAGGATCTTTGTAACTGCCATGGGCTAGACTTCCCCTCCATAATCAACCGCAACAAAAGCAGCTTTCAGGACCACGTGAGCCTCGCTCTAATGCTCATGAAGGAGGGTTTTGGGTTTAGGGTCTAGGGGTTTAGGGTTTAGGGTTCGGGGTTTAGGGTTTAGGATTGGGGGTTTAGGGTTTAGGGTTCCAACTTCAATTGTGGGAGGACCTTGTCACACTAGTCAAGGATGCGAAGCCCTCCATGCTGCACTCAACTTGCTGGAGGAAAGTAGGGAATGGAGGAATGCTGTAGATCTCCCAATAATAAAGTGGGTTGCATTCTCTTTTCCCCGCCCTAAATCTTGAACCCTACACCTTGAATCCAAAGCCCTGGTTTAGGGCAGTTTCCATTTTCTTGTCCACTCCTTCATACCCTACGAGCCACCCAAAATCCTATGCATCCCTATTGTCAACCCCGGGTTGCATTTCATATTGCATTTGCTGTTGATTTGATACTTCAGTCCCTACCCTGAAGCTTAAAGTTTGCTCCCGAAGCCCTGTTCCCTTCAAACCCTCAATAGTAGTTTCCATTTTATGCTCCATCATCCCTATATAACCCCAAGATACTATAGTAGTTTCCATTATCCCAATATTAACCCCAGTATGTACCCTACAATCCTTATATAACCCCCCTACATAACCCCAAGATAATCCCCCTAAACCCTAAACCCGAAACCCCAACATAATTTAGGGAGTCAACAATCCTGAGTCTCAGGAGAATCGTCTGTACGGTGGTAATTCTGCAGCTCGGTCGAAATCTGAGGCCGTTTAGACGCGGATGTAGGAAGGCTTATGGTTAGGGTTTAGGGTTTAGGGTGTAGGGTTTAGGGGCATTATCTTGGGATTATAGGAGTTATATAGGGGTTATGCAAGGATTGTAGGGTACGGGCTATAGGGGTTATATAGGGGTTATATAAGGATTGTACGGAACATAGTTGGGGTAAGATGGAAACCAAACAGGAAACTACTATAGTATCTTGGGTTATATAGCGTAATTGTAAGTCACTCTTTGGGTGGACAGCTCCAAGGAGGTCAAACTGTCTTGCATATGTGTAGCAGCAATTTTCTGGCAGATTCGTAGACGATTGCAGCGTGAGCTTCAGTCTCATCATCTTAGAGTCAGCAGGACCCCACAACATGCCACAAGAGGCACACTCACTGGGGCCAGCACCAAATATTTGCTGTCAAAAATTTGTTGGCGTACCTGGCAAGGGCGCTTAAGGATCCTAGGCTACACCACCATAGGGCTTACGCAAGCCATTGTTTGGGACCGGGGGGGTAGGGCGGGGGTTAGTGTAGGATCTACGAATATGAACCATGAATCCTGGATCAAAAACGTACATGACTAGAAACATGGGTTGCCCATCTGTAGGGAGCTTCGTTTTGAGGTGCACATTCCGGGCGGGTCTGTTCGCCCAGTTATGCAGAATGAAGGAACATCATCCCTGTTTACGATAGTATATTGGTGTTACATAGGGATAATGGAAAAGAAAATGGAAGCCACTATAGTATATCGGGGTCATATTATAAGGATAATGGAAGATAAAATGCTCTCACGCAAAGCTGGAGAAACGCGCAAAACCCCTATGATCGAAAGTCAACCCATATGAGTAATGTTTTTTGGTGGTTGAACCTAGTAAGATTATACTATAACCAAAAGGAGGATATAATCTTAATCTTATTCTATATTGGGTACCATAGTATCCCCAATAAAATACTACCCATATCCCCCCTTCCGTCTCCCTCCTCCCAGTCCCCACCTCTAACCCCTAAACCCCCAAAGCTGCACTCAAAATCCAATGCCCAAGAACTTCCATACCATCCCCAGATTTCCCTAAACGCTCAACCCTGAACCCTATATAACCCCATCATAGCAGTTTCCAATTTCTGTTCCATTATCCCTATCTAGTCCCTTTATAGTCCACGTAGAGTGCCTATATACCCTCAACCCTAAACCCTAAACCCCCTAAACCCTAAAACCCCCTAAACCCTAAACCCTAAAAACCCCAAACCCTAAACCTCCTTGTAAGGGTGGGCCCCTGTTTTGTAAAATCCCCAGACCTCTCGGAGCCAGAGTCGCATCCGAGGAAGCGCTGAGAGCCTGAAGGATACCAGGGCTTCACAAGGCCTTGGGGTTTTTTGGTTTAAGGTTTAGGATTTAGGGTTCAGGGCTTAGGGTTTAGGATTGAGGGTTCAGGGTTTAGGGTTTAGGATTGAGGGTTTAGGGTTTAAGGGAGAGTTAGGGCGGATGGGAGTCGACAGAGCTGAAGGCTCCGGACTGAAGGAGCGGGATTTTAAGAGCTCGGGATTTAGGGGGATTCAGGGTCCAGGATTTTGGGGTTCAGAGCTTGGGGCTCAGGATTCAAGGATTCAGAGCCCAGGGTTGGACAGGAGTGTAAGGAGCCAGGTTCAGGGCTTACCGATTGCAAGTGATAGAGTTCTCAAAAATATGGCCCCCGACCCCGACTCTCACCCCAAACCCTAAACCCTAATACCCAGCGGAACCACGGACAGCGTCTGCCTGAACATGGAACGCGGTTCACTGCAAACCTCCGCCCGGACCCCAAACTCTGAGCCCTGGCCCCAAACCCTACACCCCAAAGTCCTGAACCTCTACCTGGAACCCCTGGATCTCTGCCCTTAACCCAAACTCATCATCTCCTGGAAACAGGTCGGGCACGCGTTATCCGCGCTGCCAAGCCAATGTGGTAGCAGTACATTAGGAGAGCAGCTTTGAAATACTCCTGAGTGGCCAAGAAAGACATGTTTACGGCGGTTAGGGTTTGGTGTCGAAAACCCTCCATCCTGGCTTCGCATTCGGCAAGTTCCCAAAATTAGGGGTACCTTTCTGGGGGTCTATATAGTAAGGATTATAGTATATTGGGGTCTACATTGGGATGCCCCTATTTAGGGAAACTATCATTCAGGCAGTAGGCTTATCTTCGCGGGTTCCAAAGCTGAGAGCCCCTGCAATGAGAATCCTGCAGCACTGGGTCAATAGACGTGGACTCAAAATCTGACACGATCTTTTTAGTTGAATAACCCTGAACACTGAACTTCGTTCCCCAGGGTACCCCTTCAAGATTCGAATGGTAGGCTTGGAAAAAGACTCTGCTGCTTAAAGTGTCCGCCACAGACCCGTGTTGTATCTCCATACAGCCTTGTATAGCCTGATACAGACCCCAGGACAAAATTTGTACTTTGAGAGCCTCCGAGATCATGTACAAATTCTGACATGATTCGGCGCTTAATTCCGCACACTACATGCTTCTGGCAGGAGAAGCGCATCGCAGTCCTGCTGGATGATTAGTAGGGCTATAAGGTACTTTAAACCGAACCCTAAACCCCTGAACCCCTAAGCCCCTAAACCCATTTTAAGCCCTAGACAAGCCCCTAAGCCCGTAAACCCCTAAGCCCCTAAACCCCTAAGCCCCTGAACCCCTAAAACCCTAACCCCTAAACCCTGAAGCCTAAACTGGCCTAGGACACTTCTTGGGGCTCTGGGGAGCTTCTGCCCTGATGCGGTGACTAAGTGCCCTACTTGGAGAGTCAGGAAGACTTAGTTTTTTACCCTATGATCCATGTAGTAAATCTAGTTATCCCCAGTATTAACCCACTTACTAAGTCCCCCTAACCCTCCAAGTAGCCCTGCATCCCAAGCGCCGGACATGGCCCGGCTCCATGAACTGAAGCAAGGTGAGCACAGCCTGGGATGGCTTGGGGCTCAGACTGGGTTGGTGTTAAGGAACCTAAAGTAAGTTGTCATAATGGGTATGCATGTAATTAATATGGTTTCCCCAATGTAGTAACTTAAGTTAAGTTAAGTTCCTTAACAGCAACCCAGCAGAGCTTCGGGTTTGGCGCTTTTGGGTTTAAGGCTTGGGTCTCAACATTGGGAGTTCAGGATTTGAGGATTGAAGAAGGCACAACTGCCTGGCCCCTCTGAATATCACCAGGGCAGTGATCTCGTGGGCCAAAACCCCAAACCGCTCTAAACCATAATTCGCCTTTATCCATGCTTCATATTTCAAAAATGAAAACATATCGCCCAACATACCATGTAGTAGTTTCCATTTGACCATTATCCCAATATAGCCACAATATACTATACAGTAGTTACCATTTTTCTTTTCCATCATCCCAATATAGCCCCAATATACTATATAGTAGTTTCCATGTTCCTTTCCATCATCCCACCCACTAAACCACAACAAACCCCTCTTGACCGGCTAAGCTGAAACCCCGCATACCCATGACAAGAAGAGGTATCCCACCATATGCGGGTTTCCGAG